CCGCTCGTCGGATCGGCGGGGGCCCCCGGGGTGTGGGGGACCCCCGCCGCGGGGGGGGTTGTCCCCCGTCCCCCCCCCCACCTTGAAGAGCTGCACCCCGATACAGGCGAACATGAACTGCAGCAGCGTGGTGACGATCATGATGTTGCCGATGGTGCGGATGGCCACGAAGACGCACTGCACCACGTGCTGGGGACAGAGGGACAGGCGGCCGTCGGGGACGGGGGGGGACACAGGCGTCGGGGACACCCTCACCTCAGGGACAGGGGGACACCCGGGACACCAGGACAGGGACACGGTGACACTGGGACAATAGGGACAATTGGATGGTCAGGGAGACCCCGACATTGGGGACACCGGGACGTCAGGAACACCCAGATTTCAGGGACAATGGGGACACCACAACTTCAGTGACACCCGGACACCGGGGACACTGGGACGTCAGGGACAACGGGACATCAGGACAGGAGGACACAGAGACACGGGGACACCCATGCCACGGATGTCACCCGTGCCACCAGCAGCACCACATGCTGGGGGTCCCAGTGCTCCCAGTCCCACCAGTACAGCCCACAGCACACCACAGGCGCTGCTGGGTGCTCCCTGCCCCTCCTCCCAGTGCCTCCCAGTGCTCCCAGTGCCGCACCTTGAGGCCCTTGGCGCGGTTGATGGCTCGCAGGGGCCGCAGGACGCGCAGGACCCGCAGGATCTTCACCACCGAGATGGCGCTGGAGCTGCCGCGGGCGTCGGGGGACACCAGTGCTCCCAGTGCCTTCCAGTAGCACTCCCAGTGCCCTTCCCAGTGCCATTCCTTGTAGCCTCCCAGTACGCCCAGCAGCACTCCCAGTGCCCCCCAGTACTGGTCCCAGTGCCCCCACTGTCCCCAGCGGCGCCCCAGTGCCTTCCAGTGCTCCCAGCAGTGCTCCCAGTCCACCCAGTGGCACTCCCAGTGCCTCCCAGTAACCTCAGAGGCACTCCCAGTACCCCCAGCAGCACCCCCAGTGCCTCCCAGTGGCCTCAAAGGCACTCCCAGTGCCCTCAGTGGCGCTCCCAGTGCCCACAAAGGCACTCCCAGTGGATCCCAGTGCCCTCAAAGGTGCTCCCAGTGCCTTCAAAGGCACTCCCAGTGCCTCCCAGTGCCCCCCCCCCCCCCCCCCCCGAGTGCGCGCGGGGGAAGGGGGGACAGGCCACCCACCC